TTTTTCGAAATAACACCCATGAGCGTTATTTCGCGAAAATACATTATTACCAAATTCATAATGGCATTGTTCCCTGGATATGATCTTTTGATACACATCTTAAGTTAAAAATTTATAACTGAAAAATTTTTATAAATATTTTTTAAGATATATTTTAGATGCATTGATGTATATATATTTGTGTGTTGTAAACCACAGCAACAGCATTATCTAATAGTTTTGATTTCCCGAAAATTTAAAACTCTTAAAAATATACATGTACTGTATGTACATGTAGTCTATGCAAAGTTTTGTCCATAATTTTACCTTATTCCAAGAAGCCTGACAACTTGGTATTATAAAAATTGCAAATCAAATTGAATCCAAAAAAACATGAGTTATTAATTTTAACTATTTTAATAAAAAAATTCCTTGCATACATGTATAATGTAATTTATAAAAGACTTGAATTAACATGCTTACTGTAATATAATTTCAAACCATGCTAACGGTATCGAAATGAGAATGTACCGTAATTTGCCGCATAGACCACTCCGGCATGTTACAATTTTCATAGAAAGAATTGATTTACACCCGGGAGGGGGTGTATTGTACGGAATTGAGTGTACTAAATGGTAGGTATATATAACTACTCTTCACTAATTCTTTTTGGCAAAGATTCGTACAATTTGGAACAATAATCGAGATCTATGCTCTTCCACGTCACTTGTAACTTTTCCCACGACTGTTCTTGGTTAAAAGTAGTCCTGGAAGTTACCTCATCCGTATATCCACCTCATTCCATAAATTTTCTATAGGTTTAGGTTGGGAGACTGGGATGGCCAGTCTAGCAAAGTGATCTCGTTATCGGCGACCATTGCTTTGCCTTTCCGGAGACGTGTTTTGGGTCATTATCTTGCTGGAAGATAAAATCACTATCCTCTAGCCGCTTCTCCCAGACTGACCCTAGAAGATTATTTGTTAGGATTTCCACATAGCCATCCGCATTCATTTTTCCCACAATTTTTTTTAACTTGCCAACGCTGTCGCCCATCACGCAACCCCAAACCATAATCGAACCACCGACAAATTTGACGGTTGGCGTAATATGCTGGTCTTTTAACTGACCACCGGGCTTTTTCCAGCAATACTTTCGGCCATCCGACCCGAAAATTTGGTTCTTGCTCTCGTCAGACCAAATTACGCATCGCCATCCGTCGGCCATCCAAGTTCGGTATATTTTTTCGCTACGCCAACCAGCGTTTTTTGTGTGTTCGTTTGAGATAAGGCTTCTTTGTTTTATGCAAGCGAATAATCCATTTCTACGGAGCATACGTCGTATGCTTTCTACCGAGAAGTCAACGTCCAACTCATTTTTAAGCTCCCGTTGGGCCTCGACAGCGATGGAATATTTTCAGGAGTGGCTTAATCGGCACGCGTTTCTTTTGTAGCGTGTCGAGAGGATTGGTGGACGACCGGTTTTTGGCTTGTCGTCGAAGTTCCCAGTCTCTTCCTTCTTTTTTGCATATCCGGTAGACGGAGGCCGGGTCTATTTGTTCCGATGCTGCGATTTCTTGCGTCGAATATCCTTCTTTCCGGAGCGTGTATATACGGGCGCGTTTCTCTATAGGGATTCTAGGCATAATATTGAAAAATGGATCAGTTTGTTTGTTAGAATGTGAAGCTTTATTTTTTAATTTACAAACAATCAAAAGCGTTTGTACTTATCTTTATATAGCCCTTCCGTCCACTTCGTAATAAGTGCAACGCTAAAAAAAGATAAAAAAGTTAATAAATCTTTAATCAAGCAAATAAATTTTAATATCATCAATACTGTAGATCTTAATTCATCACCTTTTGGTTGCCCAGGTTCTCCCTACGGCGAGGTATTCGTATCTCGCCGTTTTTTTTTTCCATGTTGCGTTTCTTTTGTGAGCCACTGTAAGCCTCGACGGATCGAACATAAACTTGAGGCACTTTTTGAAACTAGCTGAATAAAATTAATGTACATATCACTCTAAAACACAAACTATCAGAATCGAATTCATACATAAGCAACTTAGTTTCTCGAAAAAACCGGCCAACCGTTTTGTCTTATTTAGAAGTTGTTTTTCAAACGCAGCATCAAAAGATTGCATTGTACGCCCTTTATCTGCTTTATCCAAAAAAGATCATTTACATTTTATATCACTACTCAGTTCGCATATATATAAACAATATAACTCATTACTAATTTAGAATACCGAGATGGATATTGTCCCAAAATTTCCTTATCACGGGACTTCTTTTCAGTTTTCGTCAGTCACGGATGATTCCACAAGTCAGGTAATCACGGAATTCTATGTTGCGACGGCAACAATATGACTTTCAATTTGCATTGTCCCCTGAGGTGTATTGAAAGTTAGAAATCGGAACTGTCAATGTGTATTGCTTCTTGTGGTAAATCAAAGTAAATGAAAGTAGCTCATCAGTTTGTATTGTTTCTTAAGGTAAATTGAAACTAAAGCTATGGAATCATTAGCTCCTGAGATGAATCGCGGTTCATTGTTCTAGATGGTTGGCTAATTAGACACATATATTTCTGCTCCAGAAAATGAATGTTTATGTTAGAATCTTGTTGCAGTTTGTGAGTTATATTTGTAGCTCGAATATACATGCTTAAGATTCTCGCAGGCTATTTTTTGATAATGTCACGAAAAGATGCTTGACTTCACTTAATTGCAATTTTCACTTTTTATTGCAAATTACATAGAAAAATGTATTTACTTAAATTATATAGAATTTAATTAAAGATTACTATCCACAAGGTAAAAATATTCATAAGGGAAAAATGTAAAATGAAAATATTCTTTGTTTTTCTTTTTATTTACATGTATTTGAGGGGGATTCTAACAACATTATATATCTGCAATGTTAAATTGGCTGAATCAATTGTATAATCATTTGGATGGAAATAAAGACCGAGAAAACTAATTTCGAGGCTCAAATCAATTGTTAATACAATGAAGGTTAACTTCAAGAATAAGTGATCAAAAAGCGCGATTTGTATTGATAAATTGATACGAACGAGGAATATGTGATTAATTCTGAACACGCGCTAACGCTAACATCTAATAATTTTGGTTAAATATGGTCCAGATTGACATCATCTTATTTTGATTAATCGTACTGTAAAATTTCATTACTGTGAAGAAAAAATGTAATCCAAAATTGATCCCGGCATAATAGGATAGCATTTTAAATTAATCAGTTATAAAAATTTATAAGCACTTAGTTAGGTATGTCTTGTAGAATAAATGTACTTATAATAACCTGTTACAAATTTTATCTGTAATCTTTAAGATTAAGACTAGGTTAAGAAGTTATTAAAATTATGTTTAAAGTCAAATTTTGCAAGTGACATTTCTACTTTCGCCGTTTTTTGAAATTCGTGCGCACGTGATATCTGATCTCGAGCGATTCAATTGGCTAAAAAATCATTATATTTATTAGTCATTAAAGAATAGCTTATAACTTAAAAGCCTTCTTAGAAACAACCTTTAATGTTTTAAATTTGTAAAACCTTGCCATTAATTTGGTCACTAAATACAGAAATATTTCCAATCAAAATTTGTGTCAAAAATTTCTTTATGAATATTAATGTGTCTTGATCTTTCTAATAATATCAAAGTCATTTAATTTGATTCATGATATTCAGAGATATTTACATTTTTTTAAAATAAATTTTTTATGTTTTTGCCAGTTGGAATGCAAAATTCCTGACATTTAATGATCCAAGAGCCATTTTTAAACGCATTTTTGTTAGACACTCTTATTAATTTAGCTATTTTATACTATAAGTTGTACTATCTTTATATTATATTTAATATCAAATAAGTCAAACAATATAAGAATAAAGAAATCAACAACTAAAAAGAAGAATTACCTTATTTTTGTGAAATAACTTGTAGGGATATAATTTCGAACTTTTAAATTTAATGTGTGCTATGATTTGAAATAATGTGTATGGGCATTATTTCGCGAAGTGAAAATGTGGTATGCTTAAAAAACACATATATATTGTCTTACCTGAGCAGTCAATCCCATTAAACTGAACCCCAATAATCTAAAAATCGTGTTATGCCGAATTATTTCTGTAGAATGCATCCATAATTATCCTGCTAAATCAAAAAACACTATTAAATCCCATGTAATTCATTAACTGAAGATTTATTGAAAACATGCATATTGAATTTACTCCAATAAATTGATTTTTTTTTTCTAAACTAAAATACCAAATCTGAGCACAAATTTTTTAACCAATAAAATCCAATAATTTATACACTAAATTTCATGCTAACATTTACTCTTGGTACACAAAAAGTGGAATATGAGTATTTCACAGATATTAGCCATTCTTTTGTGCTTCGTAGGTGGCTAAAAACTAATATTTACGTTGTTGTCCGAAAAAGGGCAGATCATGGGGTCAATCATAATAAAAATATATCATTTTATATATGGTCGTTACTTGTTCATAGAAAAATGTTGATGCTTCATTGATAAAATACCTTTCTAGATAAAAAAAAGCTCAGATTGTTAAACAAATTTAAGAGAATATTATAAGTTAACTCTAACGCTGGGAGCGCAGATCTTTTTTTTTTAAATAAACAAGTATGTACACTCGATAAACAAAAGCTTGGAATAAGCTTGGAATTGGAAACGCACAAAATTGAACACAGTACATGCATGTTTTTTGATGTTATTTTGTTATATATGTTTATGATGGTCGACCACAAAATAGGAAAAGCTGTGCGACCGCGCGACTTCGTTTGATGCACAAGGATTAAATGATTAAAAGTTTTTTGTATATCGATATCGTTCGTCTGATGCACAAGGATTACGTAAATCAAAAGTTTTTGTATATAAACATGCCATTGATAACATTTCTCAACTTATTACTACAGCTTTTTCCTTTCATATATTCGCAATACATAACAATAAACTTGCATCTTCTATTTGACACGTCAATAATATAATAAAACATGAATACGGCAATAATTGCAGGTAAAATTCAAAGCCAGAAACATAATAAAATAAATTTTAATATTGCTCTGAACATTTATTTAGAATTAGTACAGCTCTTTAAAATTTCTATGGATCAAGAGGATTCGGATATGGAGAGAAAGTTCAAAGATTATTTGATGCAAAACCACTTATCTGATCGAAATCTTCAAGCGGTATTATCAAATTCGTCATTACCTTTGCATGTCACGATCTTTGGTTTTTTGTGTATTACCGATACGATTAGAGATATTGAGGTTGATCCATCATTTATCATGCCTCGCAATTATCCCGAACTGAAAAAAGTTTATGCGCTCAAATTGATTCACCAATCAGCAGATAAAAACGAAATGTATGCTCAATTACTTTTGGCGAATTCATATCGTTATGGGCGTTGGCATTGCCGTGATAATAGACTGGCATTTCACTGGTATCAACAATCAATGAGATCTAAAAACGCGATAGCAAGTTACCATCTGGGAGCTTGTTACCAATGTTCGATTGGGTGTAGGAAAGATATGGTTAAAGCATACAAATGCTATTCAAAATTTGGCGATGGATTTCAAGATGGGCTGATGCTTTGTTATTTCAAAGGAAAGGGTACCCAAAAAGATATTCATTCAGCATTAAAATGCTGTTTGAAGTCATGTAAATCTGAAACAATAGAAATAAAATACCGTCTTATACAAATGCTTAATGAAAAATACATTATGCGTAACTATTGACCTTATCGTTATGGCGAGAACTGTTTATGCCACGAAAATTTCAGGATTACCTTATATGTCAAAAATCAATAGCGATACGCCATAGCGATAGAGCAATTCGATAAATTACAAACAAATGAAATCCAACCATCAAAAATATAACGAATAATCAACAATAATTAGAGGTCAATCAAACGAATTTATCAATTCTAACTAGATATAATGGCTCACAAAAGAACGCAACACGGAAAAAAAGGCGCGATACGAGGGCGAATTTTAAGTAACAAGCTGCTAAAAACTTATTCAATATTCTACATAAAGATTCGGAAGTTTTAAATTTGCATATGAAAATTTGCATTTTTGATATGAAGAACAAAATTACTTAAGACATATTGGTATAATACCTTATTAAAAATATCATTAAATTATAAAAACTAAAAACAATTATAAATATAACTAACTTTATTATGTCAAAATTTATAAATATATTCTTTGTAATATAACGACCCTACGGGAAAATTGCATCAGGAATTTTACGCAACGTGTAAGCAATTTTTCTGCAACGTGTCAGGAATTTGTTCCGTATGAAAGTGGGCGCGTTTTCCGTACAAAAGCGTACGGAAATAAATACCGAATTAGAAAATTCCATATGGTTTCCTGATATAAAATTATATAAATACTGATGCGTATCATATACGTTCCCTGAAGCATATCGTATATATTCCACGCGTATTTCTGATACATTCCAGATACATTCCATATACAGTTATTATGTATTATGTAAAATTCTGTGGACAGTTACGCCCCAAAAATCACAGACACATCGATTATGTATTGCGTATACAATCTTTATATATTCTGGATATAATTACTTTCACATCCCATACATATACAGTTATTTGTGCTACATATTACAAACTAACTAGTCTCTCTACAATTGGCCACTGATCATCTTTTTTTGTTATGATTCTTGCCATGCCTATGTGAAGGTTTCAGATTGTTCTTGATTCTAGCTTCTGAAGATTCTTGTGAAGTTGTTTCCTTTCCAGATCCTATTATAAAACATCAAAATTATTAGAACTTAATCATATATAAAAATAAAAGATCTTTTACTTACTGAACAAATGTCCATTATTAACTTGTAATGAACTGGAAATACTTATTTATAATGTAATATTATTTTGAGACTTTTTCAACTTGATCTTGGCTGCATCAATTTGGTACATTTTCTCATTGCCAGAAATTATATAATTATTATATGACTATTTTCAAGTTTCTTTTTGTTTGGAAGATGTAAAAATAATATTTTTCTTTTCTTCATTTGACAATATTCTAGAAATATAATAATGATAATATTATAGAATTAGAGTAATAGTAAATTTACTAAAATTGAAAATAATATTTATTTTGGATTATTATCAGTAATATCAGACAAATCCTTATAGAAAGTTGATCCTTCTGATATTTCTAATAATATATCTTAGAAATAATATATTATAAGTATGTGATATATTATATAATTGATTATAATACATATCAATTCTTATATTAAATATATTTTTTATTGTATTCAAATCACCATCAATCAATACTTGTAATCCAGCCTCTTTATCAGAAGTTATCTTTTTGTCATATTCATTTAAAATCTCACTAGAATCATCTTCTCATTCTTTTTTCTTTATTTTATTTAAGCATGATTTATAAGTTTGATCTTTAAATTCTACTTGAAAAGCTTATCAAGTTCTTGTATAATTTATTCTTTTTTCATGATTAGTTTTATATTTAACTTAATATAATAATAAATTAGAAACTTTAATAATAATAAAATATTTAATAATATTATTGTAGTAACATAAATTTCTTTAATTTCATAATTTTTTGAACTTGGAAAATGTGACCAATCAATTGATCTTTGAATAACATATGATTTCAAATAATATAATTGGTGTATCAATTATGAATTCAATCACAATTCAACAATATTTTTGCAATGTTCTTGCAACATTTTTGCAATATTTTAAGATCATCAATGAATAATTAGTCCTGAAATTAATAATAATTCACAAACAGTTCAATAATAGTTTAGAAATACTTTAGAAACAGTTCATCAACAAATTTCATTTATTTTTATCTTTTATCTTTTTTTTTTAGAACATATATCTTAGCTTTTCATTTTATTTCATCATTTGTATTATCATTTAACCTACCACATATATCTTATCTCTTATTTTTACTTGTTTATTTATTGATACTTTGCCTCAAAGA